GACGAAAAGAATCAAGGTATGTCCTGATTTCTGCATGTGGGAAGCTGTCTGTCTGTCACCTGAACAGCAACTGACTTGGTGTTAAATCTGATAGAGGATTTGCTTTTCTGCTCCTCCATTACGCAAGACACCACAGACTGCGGTTGGCATGTTCTCTCTTAAAGCAGTGGAAGTGGTAACCATAGGTGCTGACAGCCTTCATAGAAAATAGGGCTGGAGGGAACCTCTACAGGTCATTAGTCTATCTTCTGCCTAAACCATTCCTGACAGATGTTTGTCTAAGCTGCTCTTAAATCTCCACAGATAGAGGTTGTGCACCCTCCTTAGGCAGTTTATTCTAATGCTTAACTGATTTTACCCTTAAAGAGTTTTACCTGATAACTAATAGGAGTCACCTTAGCTGCATTTGAAGCCTAATGCTTGTTCTGTCAACAGGAGATACGGAGAACAGATCATTCCCTTCCCCTTCACAGCAGCATTTGGTGTATACATCCACTATTAGGGTTTCATGCTATGAAGTGATCTTGTCCATCCTGAAACCAATTTGTTTCAGAAAATTACGGGGAACTAGAACAAAAATTAAGTTGCATTTCAATCTTAGCTGTCAGGGCTGCAGTTGACTTGCTGTCAAGATGCTCTGACACAAATAGGGTGAGCTGAAATTGTGTAATGACAACCCAAGGCGCTTCCTGAATCTCCTGTTCAGTAAACTTTCAGAACACTGGAAATAATTAATTAGCCGTGGAAGATGGGAAACGTTGACTAGCAGAACAATGGAATAAAACTTTCCCCAACTATGCTGTTATATCGCAAAAAAAATTCAGTTACTCAAAGCAGAGCTATTTATTCTTATTTAGTGGGTTTGGTACTTGACAAGCATCAAACTGACAACTTTAGAATAAAAATCCGTAATGCCAGCATAGAGCTGGGCTTAAACTAGTGATGAGAAAAAAAAAAAAAATAAATCCCGTGGTAGCAAGTTCTTCCTGTCAGAATAGCTTTATTGCAGCATGAAACTGCCTTATGCTTTCGTTAAATCCTGCAGCCATCCACCGCTTATGTGGCAACAGCAGTTGAATGACATGTGGCAGTCCCTGAACTGATTAAAAGCCCTTTCTGCACTCCTGTTTTTGACTGAGGTACCTCTGTTTCAGAAAAACCATCCTGTGTTCCCTTGGGGAGCAGCTCAGTGGGAGGCTCCACAGTCCACTGTCCCTCAGCAGCCGTGTGCATTGGGATCCTGCCTGGCCTGGGCGCTTATTCGGGAAGCAGTGATTCGGAGTCCAGCTCGGATAGCGAAGGCACTATTAATCCCACTGGAAAGATCGTCTCTTCTGTCTTTCGTAGCAACAGTTTCTTTGATGGTCCATAACAAAATCCCTCTGTGTGTAATGTAGTACAGAGTATCTTCCAAAGCCCTGATGGATGCTTGATGCATCCTTCTGCCCCAAATATAATATTTCTAGCTAGCCTCTCAACTTTAATACACTCAGATACTCCTAAAATAACTCATTGTATCTTTTTTTTTTTCCTTTTTTCCCCTTCCAATTTTCCATTTCTGAGGTGCATACTGAGCCTGGAAGAAAGGCTGCCATCCTGAACCAGAAGGCACACCTAGTAATGTAATGAAAGTCTGAGGGTAGGGAGGAGAGAGCTTTATCTTTTAAAATTGTTATGGAAAGAAAGAGTTGAGGTGATACAAGAAGTTTATACAAGACTAACAGGCAGAAAATACTCACTTGAAGCAGTGAAGTCTTGTAGAAGCAGCCATGTGTTCTGTTTTAAAATGTCATTTTTATTCTGTATTTGAGAAATGGGGGCAGAACAAAAATCGAGCAGATGGTGAAGTGTAGATTGCCATGACACTGTAAAGAAATTTTAGTGTTACATGATTAAAGACATTCTGAATGCATTTTTTTTTTTAATCTCTGCTCGTGCCATTCATAATTGTTCCCATTCCATTAAGCAGTTTCTGCTCTACCCAACCAGCCCCCTCCTCAAACCGCCATCCAGGAGAAGTGCAAGCCAGCCTCATCCAAATGCAGAGATGGTGACGGAAAACTGTTGTTCTGAGTGAGTTTAGAGGAGCTGCAGTTGCTGTTCTGCTCAAAGGCCATTGCTCCTGCACTGGCGCTTGGCAAGTCAGTCAGCTTTTCTGCAGCAGTGTCCTGAAGAGCATAAATCCAGAGCGGGTGGGATTCCCTAGTTCAGCCAAACCTCTTTGTGCAGAAACTGAAGAACTCCACCATCCTTTGCAGTTGGTGGTTTTTGATGTTGTATTGGATTTTAAGAACCTTACATGGGCATGTTTACGGGTGGCATGGACCAGTGTGGACAAGGGAGGCAGGCATGAGCGAGAAGTAGGCTGTGAAAGCCGCGGGCCCATCCTTTTCACCTCTGTGTGCGAGCAGTGCTAATGGGAGGTTGGTGGGTTGGAACAGCTCAGCTCGACTGCTCAGAAGTGGAAATGTCTGTGGCAGTCTCCCTCACAGCACTCCTGCTCTACATACGACACTCCAACGTGCATGTGCTTCCGAGAAAACAGCTGATACATGCATATCAAAGGGCAGTTATCTGAATGTGACGCTAAACGACTTGTAAGAGCAGCTGGGATAAAAGCAGTGGAAACTGAACGCCTTTAGTAGGATTCATGCCGTAGCTTGAGTGATGAACTTTCCCAAAGGAAACGGGAGAGTTATGCTCACGGTGAAGCTGTCCTTAGCCAAGTACCCTTTCTGTTTGCACAACCCTGTTCCGCAATTGGATCCTTACAAACACATTGTAATTCCTCCCCTGTTCTTCTGGGATGCCCGGCCCCTCTTGTGTTTGTTCCAGAGTTGCTCCTGCCTCTTCTCTAGCTATGGTGCTTTCAGGTGGAAAATAGCTAGATCTCTTGCTGCCTCCCTAATGCTTTGCTTTTGGTCATTTTCATCATACTTAGCTATGGAGTGAAAGGGAAGCACTGCCCTAAAATTGCCAGTTTTTCATGAAAGCTGCATTCGCAAGAGCCTTGAGCAGTTGGTGTGAGAGATGTAGGTGTCCTGCCCTGGCATTAAGCTACATCAGTAATCTCTCTATACAGTTGGAACAGCCTGGCCCAGCTGTGAGGACGCTGGGGCCATTTTCCTGAGTGATATTTTGCACAACTGCAGTCAAAATGGCCAATTTGGACAGAAATTTATAGTGGGACTTGCCAGCCAGTTGTGGCAGACATGATGATGGTGGTCTCAGGGGCTGCAGGTGAGATCAGGAGGGGGTGATGGTGGTTATGTTGGACCATGCAAGGCCAGGAGGAGACATAATTCAGTAAAAGCAGGTGTGAGAGCCCCCTGCTTTCCTCTTGTTCCCAGAAGAGCAGGAATAGGACACTTGGGGAACGCCTGTAGCTCACACAAACGTTTGAGTCTGAGTCGCCTCTGCTGTTCTCATGGCCTGGCCCATGTTAACAAGCTGCAGGGCTGTCCCAGCTCATCACTCCGTCTGTTGGTTCCATTTACCTTCCTGGAATCAGAAGCCATCTGATGTTAAAATACTTAAGTGCACTAAGAGACGTGCTGGGACATGAAGAGTGCAAGGGATGGAGGATAAATCAGACCTTCTGGAAATGGCAGCTGCAGCAGTAACCTTGCCCCAGGGCCAACATGCTGGAGAAGAACGGCTGGCTCCGGCGACTCTGTCATGCAGTGGTGGATTTAGATTTTGGTTTTTGTGTGTTGGGTTTTTTTTAAGACTGTTTTCTCTTTGCCATGACTGCATCGTGTGTGCTTCATCCCCTACCCAGGGACAGCTTCATAAACTGCTTGTTGTCTGTGCTAGTTGTTAAAGCTTCAGCGAGGTGTTAAAAAAAATGACAAACCCCCACAAACACTCTAGTAGCAGAAGAGCTTACTATCTAGTGCAGCTGCATGGGAGGTTCTTTTATGGAAAGAAAAGAAAAATTTCCAGAGCCACAGACTTCGATCTGGAAGCTGAGCTGTATACAGCATTATTTTTAAACAAGCCACCCTTCAAAGTCTGCTTCTCCATTTGGAAAAGGGTAGCGTTGGTTGGGGGTTTTTTCCCTTCTGGGGGGCTTTGCAAGGCAAATATTTCATGGAGCAGTCCCACCGCTCCCAAGGGATGGGGTCTCACCCAGCGCCATGCTCAGAGCTGACTCATAGCCTCATCGTCAGCTTTGGCTCCATGCTTTCGCCGAGCTGTGGGACTGCATGGGGCAGCCTGCGTGCTGGTGACCCGGTGGCACCAGTGACAACCACGCATTTGCCAGCGGTGGTTGGTGGCAGTGAGCAGAACCAGTAACACACGTGTGTGCAAATGGGTGCCAGGCTTTACATAGTCACCAGCCTCCCACCACAAGTGCTTTTGCTAATAGGGAGAAGGGAGGTCAAGTCTGCTTGAGTTTGGAGTAAGGCTGGTGATCCCTGCAGTATATTCAACTCTCTACCTGCCAGCTTCAAAAGACCTTAATCTAGTTAACAACAGAAGAAAGCAGCAATTAGCGCTGGAGATAGATAGCACATTGCTGATGAGGAGCTCAAAGGAGCTGCTGGAGAGCAGGATTTCATTACCCAGCCCATCTTCTCCCAGGCAGCAGGGAGCTTTTGTTACTCAGACATGGAAAAATTGCTAGAGATGAAGCAGCAGTGAACCACGAAACTCCCTTTGCCAGTTTGTTGTGGGTTCACTGGTGTTTTCCCAAGCACGTGCATGCCTACACACACCCCAGCCCCCTGCCCTTGGCTCAGGCAGGCACTGAGAGCTGACGGGGGCGAGTGAGGGGATGCTGCTCTCCCCGGGACACCCATATTCCCCTCCACCTTCAGTAAATCACCCTCTGGCATGCTACTGTTGATGGCCTGGGGCTGATCTGGGGGCACAGCGAGCCCTGTGAGCGCAGGGTGAGCGGCTGGGAGACCAGGAGAGCCCGTGTCGGGGTGACTCTCAAACACCCAGCACTGCTGACCACGTAAGGTGCTCCCAGACCTTCCCGTCTAGGAGACTGTTTTAAATGTCCAAGTTTCTTTATTAACCTGAGTATAACAAATATGACATGTACACAGTATAAAAATGAACATAGAGCGTGACAGATGTACAGGTACAACACAGATACATGAACTATACAATGACCGGTTTGTTGAATGATAATAATATATTAAGCGTTTCATTGCTTGGAAAAAGCAAGTTTTGATTGTAAAAATTGTATCCTGTTCCACTGAAATTATACAAAGTACATTCAATACTGAAAAGTGACTCAACAGAGCAGGACCAGGGCATGGCCTGGCTGCTTAGCGTTACCTTGGGCCAGGGCTGTACAAAATGAATCCAGACGCTTCTCTGGGATGAGTTTTAAGAACTTAGCAATTAAATTAAGAAGTACAAAGTGTTTCAGGGAGAGTATTCTTCTCTTAAAAGCATGTGGAACATGCGCTTTCGGTAGGACCGATGGGCTTCGGCAACATGCAGAGGGCATAGCCTGGCACAGCTCTACGCGGGCTCGGAGTTGATGGGCGGCAGGTTTTGGTGCTTGAAGTACTGCACGACTTGCTGGGGCAGCTCTGCCAGCACAGCTTTGGCCAGGGTCTCCTTGGGAGCCTGGAGGCGAAAAAGGAACAAAGACCGGCGTAAGAACGGCCGTAGGGACTGATAGAGCAAACGTGGCTGGGCTGTCCCCAGCTCCAGACTGTGGCGTTTCTTTGAATACCCCCTAGAGTCCACTGGCAGCCAGCATTTTATACACCTGGGTTTATTATATTCTATACTACACCTTCCCTCCAGGAGATAATTCACTGGTAGGGAGGAATAAAACATCCCCAGGAGGTTAGAAAAAACCCAGGTATTGAGTAACAGCAGGTGAAACGGAAAGGCACTGATTAGTTGCAAAAAGAGGGAAGATAAGCACAGGCTGGTTTTCTGCATCCTCTGGCAATCCTGTGCCAGCAACAGCGATCGACCCAGGGCTGACTCCTGGCCGATGGAGAGAACTGCATCTCATTTT